CACCTCTTTGTCTTCCTTTCTTCTCAGGTCTGGCAGTAGCGAGTGCATTAGTGGACGTCTCTCAGCAGATGTGTCTGGGATATAAGGAGAAGTCGGGAGGGTTGCGTAGCCGCAAGCAGCAGCCATTAGCACAGCCCGCCACCTGCATCTGACATTTACCCCTCAACCTCTGACCTCGGACCCCTGCCAGGACGCTTATGGCTGGGTTGCGTGGTTTAGCCAAGCCAAGCGGACTCTGATTGGAGAAACTGAATGTCTCCTGGCCCAAGCTGAGAGAACACTACAGGAAATGAACTCTTATGTGACCCTGACTGCTAGGACTTATCCTGGGCCACTTTATGATATTTAACTTATTTCAGTTATTTTATTCCATTTTTACAATCAGGAGGAAGAATCCTTGCACTGCTGCATCTCTGATGAAGGCAACACACACAGACAAAATTTTCTTCTGGAGACTTCTTTGGCTGCATGGCTATAACTCAAACACAAACACACACCTGCATATAGTACAGAATGTCTTTTAGAGGCATATAGTACGTCTATGTCTGTTTAATCATGGCAGTAGTTGTCAAAAATTGCTTTTATTTCTTAATTATTAATCACGTCTCTGATTTGATGTGCAGGAATAAGACACAGCTAACTGGTATGTTTACAAGCGTTTTACTTTATAGGTCACCTGTGATGTCTCTCCCAAGCATTTCATGTTTGTCCCATTAAGAGGATCTACATTTTTAGCTTTTTCACATCCTTCCATTCTCTTTTGAATTACCTCCTTTCACATGTTCATGTAGAGATCTGAGACGTCAGTGTTTATGTTTGCCATAATGATAGTGCTGCTTCTGCTTTTATCATTTACTTCCTCTCACTTCTCTCTTATCTGAAATCTCAACCCATTTCTCAGGCACATTTCAAGGAAGGCAGAAATAAAAGGCGACTGCAGGCAGGCAGCAGGGTGGAATTAGAGCGAACAAGGACCTTGTTTGGGTTTCTCGAAATGTCAGATGTCATTTTGGGCTGGCGAAGTATTATCTGCATACACAAATGCACAAACCTGGACCTGCGTTGGATACCGGGGGTATTCTCCAGGATATGGAGTGGATTGCCTAGTGCAAAGGAAAGGTCAGAGATAGAGTGAGCAAATGTGACATTATGAAATCTAAACCGGTGTAAGTGCGTGTAGGGGCGCAGTCATTACATCTTTCATTATCCTGGTGCGCGGCTGTATCGAGACGGCACAGATGACCTGCTTGCCAGTTCTCGGTGCGTTTAGAGTGCCATGAATAAAGGGACACAAGTCGCTAGACCAGAACCAAACATCTAGTATTGAGAGTCCAAACAGGATGTTACTAATCTGTCCGTGATCTCAATGGAAAATTCATGTCCTGTGACACCCATCAGGTGCGAATGTAAGCCAGAATGTCGTAGAGAGACCATTTATGTTTTTTTTCTCGCGATCTGTTAGGGTCCAAAAGGGAAAGCGCACTCACACGCACACACAAAGTGGTCTAATGAAAGGAGCTGGTCTCTCTTCCTTCAGATGGAAGCTAATTCTCACATTGCTTTTCTCTGTAAGCCTCAAACAGTACTCCTCACACACCGACCGCACCTGATACTGTAGATACGGAGTCTGTAGTTTGTTAATATGTATAATGTAGCAGCAAGTGCACACAAGTTTTTGTACATAGTGATGGACAATAATGTGAATGCCGTCTATGTTAAGCGACTTACTGCACTTGGCAGGTGGAGTGTCCCAGGCTTTTGAAATGTGACTGCATTGCAGCTTCTTTTGTATGTAAGATGGCGAATGTCATGAACAAACTTTAAACTAGCTGCCTACTTTAGAAAAAAAATAAGACCTGGAAATTTAAACTGACCTTGTAATTATATGCGTACATAAAGAATGACATAGAACATTTTATCTATAATTAAACGGTAAAATGAAAATGAATGCCTGTAAATCTGTTGTTCTAATGTTGAGTGAAATTGCAGTGTTCTTGGTTAGCTTATCACCCATCGTTTATTTAATGAGATAACGAGCTGCCTATGGCGTTTTTTAAACTATTGAGTAATTTATGTAGCTCAAGGGGAAACGGCACGGTACAGTACGGCATCTAATGTACATTGTTTTATCTTCATTGCATAGTGTGCTATTGGAAGCATTTAAGCTTGTCTCTCACAACAGGACAGATGAAATGCATTTGTTATCTCCTTATTATCAGCAGGCGGCTGTGGATAAACAATATCGTGACAACTTCTTCAGCTCGGCATGAGCGTTTATCCAGTGCCTCTTCAGAGATTTTCCAAATGGGATTATGAGGGAGCTTTCAAAGTCCCCCCACTCAGATATATTACAGATACTTTACGGCTTCATAATTGAATGGAAATTCTCACCATTAGCTGTGTATTTGCATTTTATCAAGCACATTGGCAGGAATCCAGAAACAGAGAAGGTGAATATTCTTTTCACAAATGCCCTCCGTAAAATGGTCATTGGGGCCTGTGGAGTCTCAGAGGTCTTGACCTTCTTGACTGTATGCAGCGATTAAAATCATGTGTCATAATTTGGACAATTTTCTGTTGAATTAATATTTCATTGTAGTGAAAATGTTTCAAGTTTAATTATTATGAATGTGATGTTTAGCTGACCCACATTTTGCTGGCATCTGTTACTGCATGATTTTTCCATTTCTAAAACAAACAAACAAACAAAAAGAACATTCCTTAAAGTTACAGGACCCAGGAAGTCATCGGTTGGACTCGTTAACCGCATGCCATGAGTACATCATGTAAATCACATCATTCCATTTACTCAGTTTTTACACAAATTGTAGTGTTGCCTGTATTCGTCAATTTCAGCCATTTAACTCTTTAAGCAAAGTTATTTTAAGGGAGAATGATCAAACATATTTTTCTTTATTTTGTGGAAAGTATGTTATGTAAATGATAGCTTAATTTACATTTTTAATTGTTTAGGCTACATACTTTACGTTTTACTTAGAAAAATTGCTTTAAAAAAACATAAAATTAAAAACTTGACAGTCAGCATTTTCTGAAGCTTAAAAGGATAGTTCACCCAAAAATGAAAATTCTATCATTAATTACTCACCCTCATGTTGTTCCAAACCCATTAAGACCTTAGTTCATCTTCGAAACACAAATTACGATATTTTTAATGAAATCTGAGAGCTCTCTGACCCTCCCATAGACAGGAAGGGAACTAACTATTTCAAGGCCCAGAAAGGTAGAAGGACATTGTTAAAATAGTCCATGTGACATCAGTGGTTAAACCGTAATGTTATGCAGCTACGAGAATACTTTTTGTGCGGCAAAAATAAAAAATCAGTTTTATTCAACAATTTCTTCTCTTCCGCATCAGTCTTTGCTGCCATTCACGAGAGTATACTACAATGCATGCGTGCAGTGCTGCAGATGCAGGAGCCAGCATTCTGGCATTCTCGTAGCTTCATAAAATTACGGTTGAATCACTGATGTCACATTGACTATTTTAATGATGTCCTTACTACCTTTCTGGACCATAAAACATTTCAGTTGTGTTGCTATATGCAGGGTCAGAAAGCTCTTCGATTTCATGAAAAATATTTTAATTTGTGTTCTGAAAATGGACGTGAGGGTGAATAATTAATGGCAGAATTTACATTTTTGGGTGAACTATCCCGTTAAAAGAGATTTTTCAACCCCACAACAAGAGATTCTTTCTTCTGTTGAGCACAAAAGATGTTTTGAAGAAAATGAGTAACCAAGCAGCTGCTGGTCCTCATTGTCTTTGATTATATATTTTTCCCAACTCTGAAAGTAAGTGGCTACCAGCAACTGTTTAGTTACCAACATTCTTCAACATATCCTCTTTTGTGCTCAACAGAAAAAAGACATTCAGAAATATAATGACAGTATAAAAAGAAAAATTTCAGCTTAAGTGTGACTTGGCCCATGTTGTCCTCCTCCCGAGTCCAGATATCCTTCATATTTCCTTGAGTATGTCTTGCGGCAGTAGCACAACACTGTTACATGTGGGCGTTTTATTTTGTTGGGGGTTGTTAGTCTGAAGGGCAGTGTAGATGTGTGTGTGCTGACCCAGACGATGCTCATAGGTGACAATACAACGACTGTGCTCCAAATAAATGAGGGTTACTTCACTCCCTCAGTTACTCATTACCCCCTCAGCTGGAGCTGATCGGCAGGCCCGCACACAATCTACACACACAGAACTTGAAGAATTACAACATCAGTCATTCATGAAGCCCCTCTAATACTTAATGCCACTTTTGGCTAATTTGGTAACATTCGGTAATGATTTCAGCTATTTTTAAGAATTTAATCACAGTATTTATTCCAAATCAAACATGTATGACTTTCTTCTGTAGGGCAAACAAAAATACATATAAATATTAAAGAATCTTCTCATTGCTATTTTCCATATAACTATTTTCAATTATCATCTTAGCATATTTTCACCATATTAAAATCGATTGCTCAGGTTTTTCCCCAAAAATCAATGCATAACAAACATGCTCTTGCTTTATGTACATATTTGGACACACAAGCATTATTCTGTACATCCGTATCTGGAAGGTTTATTTTTCAGGAAATAACAAGTAAAATCCACAATTTTCACCCATTTGACAGAAATGCTTTGCCCCGTTTTGTGATGCAGGTCGCAGGCTGATTGGTCAATAGTCTCTTAAGTTTGTTAGAGGTCAACGCATTTATTTTTCACTCACCTTGTTTGTCATCACAGGACACTTGAGAATAAAAAAAAGCAAAACAACTGCAGATGCCAAGTGCTCATAGGATGGGGACGCAGAAAACTGGCGTCAGTCACTGGAGAGAATCAACAGACCCTCGTTGTGCTCGTTTTGATGGGAGGAGACGAACAGTGAGTAAGGAGATGGGATTAAGCTGCTTGACTTCACATGAACAGGAAGTGTTTTTTCTTTAACAGGGTGTTTTGTGCTTCTTTTTCCATTTGCAATAAGCAGTTTGATGCAGTATTTCAGACACCCATATTCACAGGTGAAGTATACAAGAACTGCTCAGTGATCATGGCATTCATTAAGATACTTAAGCTCTTCTGCTCTTCATATCTGTGCCACTTTCTTAGCAAACCATGCACTCCAAGACTGCTGGGAGAAACAGCCTACATCTAAACAATACAGCCACATTACAAAAATAAAGACCGTCTCTGTAACCCACTGAAAGAGCTCTCATCGCAGACACTTTTAGTGCATTACATCAGTTTCCTTTCTCTTACCGCTTGTTCTTGTGCTTCTTCAAGCAAACATCGCAAAACACACTTCTATCCGGGTGAATATACAGCACACGTACCAACACCGTCCATTTGAGAGAGCTGGGGAAAAATAGATATTAAAATATGGATGATGAACAGGTAGAATTTAGTTTTTTTTCTTTTCTTTTTTTTTTTGTATGAAATTTGTAGCATAGGCATGACTCAGCCACCCGTCGACTACCTTTCAGTCGCTCGCTTTGAAGAGAGGGGGTTTTATCTTACACGGGCACCATCTTCAGTTCAAATTAAGAGAGAGAGACACATACAATTATTTAAACTCTTGAAATCAGTCATTGTGAACACCCAGACAATGAATCACTATGTTGCATTGAGGAATGGAGCAGGGTTTGATATATTTAGAGAGTTTGGCGGTTTTTGCGTCCTCCCCGAATGAGTTATTGTGATGCGGAAGTCGAAACTCATGAATACACGCACGCTGTCTCAGTTCTGTGGTGCTTTGATTAGTTGCTTGATTTTAAAGTTAGAGAGCCAGCAGCAGGAAGGGGAGGAGCCACATTACCATGGCCAGGTGGGCCGCTGCAGGACTGGCGTCATAGAGATCAGGGGACGGGAGCGTGGAGTCGCCCCACAGTCTGTCTCTCTCGTTCATCTGCAGAACAAAAAGAGCAAGTGAGATCTGTTTTTATCATCTCATCATTTCTTTCTTGGTTCTGTCTTTTATTGGTATCACATCACGGACAGATACAGTACTAAATGGATTCATCTCTAATGGACCAGTGGTGTGTATAGTAATAAAACATATGAACAGACTTCTCAACTTTTAAAAGGAAGATAAAGATGCTTCCCATGTCTTTTGCTAAAAGTCTCACAACATTTATTTGATTAAAAAACATAAGTAATGTGAAATATCATTACAATTTAAAATAACCAATAACTATTTTAATATCTTTTAAATGTAATTTATTCCTGTGAAGGCAAAGCTGAATTTCAGCCACCATTAATCCAGACTTCAGTGTCACGTAATCCTTAAAAAATCACTCTAATATGCGGATTTATATTCCACATATTTTGTGGAAAATATGTTTTCTGATTTTTTTCAGGATTCTTTGATGAATAGAAAGTTCAAAAGAATATAATTTATATGAAACCGAAATCTGTTGTAACCTTGTAAATGTCTTGCACTTTGTGGAAAAAAATGATACATTTCTTTTAGAAAATGATCTTAGTGATCGCAGTAGTGTTAGGTTATGTGATGTTTCATCCTCAAAAGCCGTGAAAAAGTATGAAAAAGAAAAGAATGTGTGCCTGATTATAAATACAGGCTTTGTTGAGTGAATGATTGGTTTCTGAGAGCATGAAACTTTCAAAATTCAATTTTAAATAATAAACAATTTTGGCATCGTGTTGTAATCACCACTTAAAGTCCAATGTAAAATCTGGATCCTGATTGAAACCAATTAAGAACCACTGCATTAGAAAATAACAAAACAACAAGACGGTATACAGCTGGTCTTCCAGTCTGGTCCAGACCATCTGACAAATCCCCTCTAAAATCACAAAACCAGACTATTGTTGTAAGCTTGGCCAGGCAGGGAAACAGACAACAGTAATCATGTAGGCTGGTTTACACTGTTTCTTTCAGCAGGGAGACTATAACACACATCTACGGCTTTGTTCTGACAGACATGAAAAGCATATCGGACTCCAATCCATTTAGCTGTTTGCACTCTGAACAGCAAAAAAAAAAAAAAAAAGAAGAAATCCAATTTGTACAAACCCAAACCATATCCATATGTGATTTGAAATCCGATTAAAACAGTATACATTTTTCCAAATGCGTTACAGTCTGGACAGTCGGAATGGATTTTAAGTCATTTTTGCGACACAATATGTATGCAATGTCATACACAATGCAAATCTGTGTTCGCTCACAAGAAAGCTCTGACGTGAATGAATAGGCAACATGAATGATCGGTTTTGCCCGGTTTGAAATCTAGCAGGAACACAGCGAGTTAGATTTTCAAAAGGTCCTAGAATGCATACTGGCACTCAGACGGACCAGGATAAAGGCCGGTACCTGTGTGGGCATCTGTGGACGCAGGATGTTCTGCTCGGTCTGCATGCCAGAACCAATGGTGGTAGTGGTGGTCTCGGTGCTGGTAACTAAGATCTGGTTGTAAGTGTTCGTGTTGGAGCCTGGAGCTTGGTTGGTCGCAGATTTCAGGTCTGTGTCATTCCCGAAAGCCAGGATGGCGTTCTCTGTTTGAAAGGAGGGGAGAGAGTCAGATTCACAGCCCTGCAGATGAACACGTCTGGAAGGCAGTCATGCCTCAGTTGGCTTTCTGTTCCAGACGTGTCTCTCTTTCAAAATGGGTTTGGAATTCATCAACATGCTTTCTTACAATAACAACAACAAAACACACTCGGGGGAACCAGAGAGTACTGGCTTATATATAAATTATGCAGCATAAATATTGACAGAACAGCATTCAGGATCATAAACTCCATTATCTGATTCATGCTCTGAATATAGTTTGTTTATATAGTAGAATATCCCTATATTACCAATTGGCTAATCCTGCCCTCCAGAAATATATTAAAAAAACACATGTATTTCTTAACGGCTTGGCATTCGTCCTTATTTCTTTGCCCAAGTCTTCCATTTTCTTTCTTATCTTTTATTTTCGTTCAGTGTGTTTTCCCTTGGGAAAGATTGGATGCATAAAATGGAGTGTGTGCTTGAGTGTGCCTCTGTGCGTGTGGGTTTGAAAGAAGTTTGATTACTTCTTGTATCTTGATGTTTAAAGCAAATCTTACCTGTACTAAAACACCCGTGTGTATTCATTTTGAAATATTCTTTATAGTCACCCATGTACTGGCGAAATTACCTTTGATATTAGACCTAAATATGGATTTCCATTCACACTCCTCTTCAATTTCCCGTATTTTATTGGCTATATAGGGTGTATTTCAGACTTATAGTGCAGGCCATATGAATGACAATAATCTGAACTGATTAATTTCCATTTGTCTAGTAGGTCACTTGTCTGAAATTACCGTGGCATGGAAGTCGCCTCAATTAAGACACAGCTGTGAGGACGGCACGGGATATAACTCCATATTTGAGTCTGATATTCCTTTCTGGTGCTGAGAAAAGGGTTGTGAGGAAAAAAGGAAGATTAGATTTATGAATGGTGAACAGTGGCATGGTTGAGTGAATTTTCTTTCTTAATTGAAACACTAATTGCTTAATCTTTGTGATCTTACAGGGGTGATGAAGTTAGAGAGAGAAAGAGAGTGACTTCCACAGAATACTTTACTGTATGTATAATAGTGCCTCTTTAATATCATTAGTACAGTGTCCTTGTAAAGCATCCCACAACCTGCCATAAATATTTATAATGGATATTGCAGCTCTGGACCATGAGCATTTATTTTAGCATTACTTATATACTGTTATAGTATTTCTTAATATTTTTAATTAGCTTTATTTTTATATTTTCAATTTAATTTTAGTTTGTTGTTGTAATCTTAAGTGCTTTTGTCCTTTTTATTTTTTTATCTTTTAATATGATTATCATGTTTATCGCGCTGTAATCATGCGTTTTAAACCATATGAGTTTAAACTTCTGATATCCAGTTTTCTGAGTGCACACATCTGAAGCACATGGACAGAAAGTAGCTGTCACAGCATGTGAGTACTAAACTAAGTTCTAATTCACACAAGTTTACGTTAAAAACACACGAGTTACAAAAACAGTCAGTTATGTCTGTGAAGGTAAACTGCTGGGAAATAAACCGCATGTTTATTTTAGATGTGTGGCAGCAGCAATATACAGTAAATAAATCAATAAATCCACTGCTCTCTTGTCTCCTCTGAGGCTGGGA